AAGGGAAATCCTAAACCTAATCACTTCTGAGCTATAAAAATATCAGAATACACATAGGCAGAGGGTAATGGGGACAGAAAGAGAAAAGGATCTTCCCCCAATTTTGGAATTCTAGTCTCCTGAAATAGGAGTCCTGTGGGTTAATGTCCTGGACTGCAAAGTCAGTTTGAACTGTTCAAGCTCACCAGCTGCTCCTTGGGAACCCTATACAGAGTTGCTACGGGTAGGAACTAACTTGATAGCCTTTAACAACAGTCTCCTGAAATATAAGAAAATAAATATCTATTCTTCTTTGTTTCTTTTTAACTTTCAATTGTGAATTGAGTGAAGGTCTACAGAGCATATAATCAGTTTTACATTAAACAAATCATGTACTTTGTTTCATTGCACTGATTCCAATCCCTTCTAGGTACAATCACGTAACAATATTTACCTCTGTTCACTGTAATTTTGTATTTCTCCCTGTGTCTTCTACTACCTTCAACTTTCCTTTGTCAACCAATTTCTTATTTGTATATGGCCTTCCCTATCTCCCATGTTAACATGTGTCTACCCTCTAGTCCATGAATACCATACACACACACACACACTCCTGGCAACTATTAGAAAATGCTTCTTTTATCAAGAAAACCTTTCCTTAGCTTTTTACAACAGTAGTCTCATACATTATTTGTCCTTTTGTGATTGACTAATGTCCTCCAAGTTCATCCATGTTATGAGGTGTTTTGTAGTAAAATTCTGATCTTTAAAGCCACCCATTGTGGTATTCGTGTTACAACAGCACTAGACAATGACCATGAAAAGTTCAAATGAAATAAAAGTTTAGGGAACCTTCAGAGTCCTGGACAAACAAAAGATGTTAGCACCATCATCACTGAGAAGATCAGAGATTGAAATGCCATCAAACTTAACATTAATGTGTCTCAATGAATGACTGTCAGTTATTGTTGTTAGGTACTGTCAAGTCGGTATTAACTCATAGCGACCCTATGCATAACAAAACAAAACACTGTCCAGTCTCGCACCAATCTCCCAAGCGTTATTACACTTGAGCCCATTGCTGCTGCCAATCCATCTCATTGGAGGTCTTCCTCTTTTTCTGCTGACCCTCCACTTTACAAACATGATGTGCTTCTCCAGGGGCTGGTCCCTTCTGATAATCTGTCCCACCTGGTAACATGTTCCATCATTTATAAATGGAACATGTAATGTACCAAGTATGAATCTAGGAAAATTGGAAACTGTTGAAAATGAAATGGAATGCATAAACATGGATATTCTCAGTATTAATGAGCTGAAATGAACTGGTATTGGCCATTTTGAATCTGACAATCACATTGTTTACTATGCTGGGATAGACAAATTAAAGAGGAATGGTGTCACATTCATCATCAAAAAGAACATTTCAAGATCTATCTTGAAATACAACACTGTCTGCAATGGGATAATATCCATACACCTACAAGGAAGATCAGTTAATACCACTATTATTCAAAATGTACGCAGCAACCACTAAAGCCTATGATGGTGAGATTGAAGAATTCTACCAACTTCTTCAGTCTGAAATTGATCAAACATGCAATCAAGATGTATTGTTAATCACTGGCGACTGGAATGTAATGGTTGGAGGCAAAGAGGAAGGATCAGTAGTTGGAAAATATGGCCTTGGTGACAGAAACGATGCTGCAGTTAGCATGATAGAAAGATTGTCAACAGTCCTTCAATATTGCACCTACTTCTCATTGATCTTTTATGTCATTATCTGATATTTTGCATTTAAGACAATAGTAAAAATCTGCTATTCCACTATTTCACACATTAACAATGTGCATCTGGTAGTAACAAACACCAGGGTTCCCAGAGAGAGTAACCTTTGCTGTGATAGATAAGATTATATGTCAGTTTGGCTGGGTCAAGAGTCTCAGTGGCTTGGCAGTTAACTAATGGTGCAATTTGTCAGTTATAGAACAAATGGAGGATCTGATGTGGTCATCCTTCACTTTTGCATACCAACAATTTTTGCATCACAACCTGCTCTTTGGAATCTAGCCATTTCTGTATGTGAGAAGCGAATCTAATACTAATGTATGCCTGAGTGCTTGGAGCTCATCAAAATCATCAATGCAACGGAGTTAGTGCTGTTGTTAAGTGCTGTCAAGTCCAACTCATAGTGACCCTATATAAGGTTTTTGAGAAGTAGCTGGTAGATTTGAACCACACCTTGCAGTTCAAACCGACATTGTGGTTGAGTGCTTATCCTACAGTGCCACACCAGGAATCCCACTGAGCTGCAGCAATGTGCAGTGTTGTAGGCATATGGAAACTATATTCTTATTTACACAGATTTAAAATTAGCATGAATTTATATATTGATAATGTTTAGATTTCATATGTTAACTTGAATTAACTGGATTCTAAGATGGTTTGTTTTTTAAAAAAAAACAAAAAAACAAATATATATGCAACTAAAGAAAGGGCTGTGAAGAGTCCTGGTGTGGCACTGTGGGTTAATGCGCTGGGCTGCATAGTCCGTTTGAAACTCAAAGTCAGAGATTCAAGTTCACCAGCTACTCCTTGGAAACCCTATACAGGGTCGCTGTGTGTGGGAACCGACTTAATGGCACTAAACAACAATAACAACAAAAGGCTGTGAAAGTTACTGATTCATAAAATGTGTTGGACAACTTTTCTGCTAAAAGGAAGCCACAAAAGGTAGGAGGTGGGCAAAGGGATGTTCATATTATAATGATGACTATAATATGAATTCTTTTTGTTTAATTATATAATCTACTTTTGCAGGAAACATTTATTTTTAATGAAACACACATACCCTTCTCTCTTTTTCTTATTGTGATAAAATATATAGACATCTCAAGACACCAAATCAAGATCTCTCTCCCAATAATGCACTAGAGAGACCTGTGTGGAAATTCCAACACATATAGTGTCACATGACAAGTATCAACATAGGACAGAAAGGACCAGTGGGCTGCCAAGGTCTTCCATACCCACCCAGTTTACTCTTCTCCTTCGGACCTCGACTTTGCAAGTGACTGCCTCTTGCAGTCCCTTGCTTCCTTCTTCCAAGCACTTAACTGTGTGCCAGGCACTAAGGATAGTGCTTTGGACCCAATGGATGGATTAAGTTTCACTCTTTCCACTTCATTAGTGAACATATATATACTCTAAACATGCAACCAATTGTGATGCAACTTTGATTACTGCTGTAGAGCAAATGTTGGCTGAATAAATAGCCCAACTAACTTTATACCAAATCACAGTTCTAGCAAATGGTGGATGAGACCAAACAAATAGCTCCTGCTTTCTCATCCCCTTCATCATTTGCCCTCTACCTTTCACTCAAGAAGAGTTCTAGCAAGGAGTAGAGGGCATCTCCTGGCAAAGCATTCCTTGGGCACTTCTATAGTAACCAAAAGGGTTGCCTTCCCCTCTACATCCAAGACAACCAATCACTCCAAGGCACCTGTGATAAAGATAAATTCTTCAAGTCTCAAGTAATCTATCGCCTTACTTCCAAATAAAAACCAGGGCACCAACTGAATCCCACCCACCTTTTTGAATAAGCTGCTTGAGTGCCTATTCAGAGTATCACTGCTTTGTTCTTGTTAAGTGCCTTCGAATCTGTTCGGACTCATAGCGACTCTATATAGAGTTCCGAGGAGCAGCTATTGTTCTTGTTAAGTGCCTTCGAATCTGTTCGGACTCATAGCGACTCTATATAGAGTTCCGAGGAGCAGCTAGTGTGTTTGAACCGCTGACACTGTGGTTCGCAGTCCAGGGTTATCCCTACAGCGCCACATTAAGAGTACTGGCTAAACAGAAAAACATCCCTGTACTTCCTAACCACAAAGCCAGCTGAAGGCAGCCGGTAAGCAGAGAGTCAAACATCCTTATTGGCTAGTTCTTAGGGCAAGTCAGATTCCCGGTGTCTGCTCTGGGAAAGCAAGTGCCTCATGTATTTATTAAGCAGATTTACACAAAAGGTCGAGTTTTCCGAGAGCAAGAATTCAGCATAGGGTGCAGGTAAATTGTTTGTGTGGTCTTGAATTTAAAATCATCAAGCTTCAAAGAGCTACGGAACATCTCTTAGGTGTACAAAATTATTTGCAATAAATAATAACACCAATGGTAGAATGTTTAACGTGTAGTTGGGGCTTACGTGAATAAATTATATAACAGGTGAGGAAACCGACAAACACCCAAGTTCACACATAGCCAGGAAATTGCAAAGCCTGGATTCCAACTCGAGTTTCTAAAATGGTAAAGAAGTTGGGTGGATTTGGGGTACTACACACACACATACATATGGGATATGATATAAGAAATAGTCGCATTCGGTCGCTATGAGTCGGAACCGACTCCACGGCACACAGCCGCCGCCACACAACCACGCAGCGATTAGTGGACGCTGACAGTCCAACAAGATAACGCCGGAAAGTGGGACTGACGCGTACACCCTGCCCCCAAGGCTAAGCAAAGGCAACCCCAGGATTCTTAAAATAACTCTCGCTTCCTCTTCGAGTAGGCACCCGCTGCTTCTCCACCGGCGCAAGGCGACTCGCTCCAGGGGAGTGTAAGCGCCCGCCCAGCCGTAGCCTTCGACGTTTCGCTCCCACTCGGGGCCATTCAGGAGGACAGCAGCGTGGCGGGCCCCACCCTTTACCCCCAACGACCTAGGGCCCCGTGGGGTCCAGACTGAGTCATGGGATCCCGGATGCGCGACCGCTCCGCGCGAAGAGGGGCCTCCCCACGGTGCGCAAGTGGCAGGGGACAGAGAGCCGCCCCGCACTTCCCACCCCGCCCCTGCACGGCCTGCGGAAAGACACCTGCAGAGCCGCGCGTCCCCCGAGCCAGGCTGCCCGGTTCGGCCACTCAGACTGAAGGCGTCTGGGCGTCCCTTTCCTCGTGGGCTAGGCCGGTGGTGGCGGGACGCTGCGCGCCCCCAGGCAGCCGCCTGTTCGCTCGCGCCGGCTACTCACCCGCTCACAGTGGAAGTTGTGGGGCGGCGGCTGCGGAGCTCCACGGTGACTTCAGTTCCGAGTTGGGGGTGCGACGGAGAGGTCGGGTCCAGCCAGCGTGGGGGCGGCGGTAAGGGTACGGGGTTGGCTGAGGGGCGCGGCCACAGCGGCCGCGGGCTGAAAACTGCAACGCGTCGGGCCCGGGGCGCCACGGCCGGGAGCGAGCGGCGGCGCGGCCCGGCGCGGCGGAGAGGAACTGGCGGTCGCTGGGCTCGGCCGGGAGTTCCCAGCTACTTCCTGGTGCTCTGATTTGCATACTGTGCCCTGAGGGCGGGGAAGTGACCGTTTGGCCCCTGGGACTTTAGTGTGGCCGTCACATAGAGCTTTGAAAGTAAAGAAACCTAGTGTCTTCGTGGGCAGCTCGGGAGTTGAGAGCCGTCGTGGGGCCAACATCCTCCAGTAGCGATGGACCCAAAAGAGCTTCCAGTAGGTCCTTTGAAAATCTGGCATATCCGCGAAACTTGTCGCGCCCCCTTTCTTTCCTCCAATTTACTCCCCAAAGTGTTAAGAAGTGCTGCTTCTAGCAGAGGGGCGCGCTCTGATCCCTCTAGAAAGACATGCGGAGTAGATGCTAAGATGAACTAAGTCAATACTCAGTGCAAAGTAAACTTGAAACTTAGATGGTGATGTTGAGGATATTGATTCGGCGCAGAGAAAAGGGGGATGCTGTTGGAGGGTGGGATGGTTCTGGAGTTTTATGAACTGGCGATTTCCTCAGCTCCTCAAAGCCTCAATTTTCTCACAGAAAACTGGAGACACGAATACCTGTCTGTGGGTTAATAACCAGTGCTAAGGGTTAAGGAGCTCTAGTAGCGTAGTGGTTAGGAATCGGGCTACGAACCTTAAGGTCAGCAGTTCGAAACTACCAGTTGTTCCATGGGAGAAAGATGAGGCTTTCTGCTCCCATAAAGATTTACAGCCTTGGAAACCCTGTACAGTGTCACTAAAAGTCAGAAGTGACTCCACGGCACATAACCACCAAGGGTTAATGCTCTGGACTGCAAGTTCAGTTTGAAAGCAAAGTCGGTGGTTCAAGCTCACCAGAAGCTCCTTGGAAACTCTATATAGGGTCACTATGAGACAGAATAACAAATTGGAAGAAGAAAAGGCTGTATGAAAAGGACATGAATTGTGCCTTATAGTCACTTCCTACTCAGAGTAACCCTGTATAGAGTTTCCGAGTGCCCATGTTGCAATCAGCAGTCCAGTGTTTATCCTACAGCACCATATCAGAACTCTTGAACTGTGCCTAGCATACAATAATGGTAGTATTTCATTCTTACTCTCTGTGTCATCTACATCCAGCAGGTGCCTGAGTAGTACTTGTTGAAATTGTGACTGCCTGTCTTAGCTCTTACTCCAACTCAAGATATGTCATTGCCAATCCAGTATGTGGAATGCATCTCAGTTTCAATGTTCACTTGTTCTAAGCAGGATTCCATCCATTCATTAGGATCCCAGCATTGCACTACATTGCAGAAGTTAAAAGGATATAAAACACACTGGCGAAAACATGTGGGGATTGGTTTCCAACTTGTCTAAATGGGACTGGTGAAAGGAGATGGGGATAAGACTCTTGTGGTTCAATAATGAATAATTGTTATCAGAACTGAATGTTGCAAATGTGAAGGTAGATGTTTTGAAACAAAAGGAAGGGAATGGTTGATCTTGCAACCCAGGAGCGGAGGACCCTGGGACCATCAAGGAAATAGAACTGAGTGTGGGACCCTATCCAGACAAGCAGGGATGCCAGAGATGGAGGCAGAGAGGATGACATGGAGAGACAGAGGGGCTGGGGACTCTAGTCTCAAGGAGGGAGAGGGGCTGTGTGCTGGCGGCCTGGGAGCTGGTCTACAGTGTTATTTGAATGGTTATATATTGCTGAGCTCCCGTAAAGATTTACACCCTCGGAAACCCTATACAGGGTCGCTATGGGTCGGAACCGACTCGATGGCACATAACAAAACAAAACAAATATTGCTGAGTGCTTCAGTGTACAGCAAGAAAAATAAACCAAAAAAAAAAAACAAACAGGGGGATTGGAAGCAAATGCTGTTGAGTTATAATGCATGGAGGGGATTAAAATCATAGCAATGAAACAAAATACAATAGACTGAATGTAAAGCTGATGCTCTTCCATGTAAACTATCACTCAATTTGCAATAAAAACTTATTTAAAACAAAAACGTGTGGGGGCCATTCCTGACTTCCTCTGCCTTCCCAAGGGGAAGGAGACTCAAACTCAAACCATCCCAAGACATATTCCTATGAAGCAGAGGTCAGACATGTCTCCACACTACAATCTTCTTTATTCTGACACCAACCATCCCTCCCCTAACACTGTGCTTCATATCTAGGTTCAGTGATACATTGCAATGGCCACAAAGGACTCATAACAATACTCACAATTATAGAGTTTATTAGGGAAAAGAACAGGTTACAATTCAGGATCCGAAACAACCCAGAAGGCAGGAGTCATCCAGTCAGGAAAGCTTGTTCTCTACCATAGTGCAGGCAAGCCTGGCTCCTATCTTCAGCCTTTCAGCCTTGTAACCCCTTGGTCTCTGTCCTTCTGGTGCAGTGTTACAAAGATCTTTTAGCCAGTCTGTAAATGACCAAAGGACACATTCTGCAAGCCAGCCGCCTGGCCATTGGCACTGAGCTTTACTCAGTCCATGGTCCTAGAAGCCCACAGCTGCTCTTTCTCTCCATGCTGCCACCTATGCCGCCACCTCTGATGTCACCGCTTTTCCAGGTATGGATCCGATGCTCCACTCATTCTCTTCTTTTCTTGATGGTCCTGGCTTCATCTGCTCTTGCTTCTGAGATGGCTCCTTTTAAACCTAGTGAGATTCCAGTATTAGAGTCCTGTATAGTGCAATGAAGGATACCATTGCTGATATCTGATGGATCTTGGCTGAAAGTAGAGAATACCAGAAGGATGTTTACCTGTGCTTTATTGACTACACAAAGGCTTTCGATTGTGTGGATCATGACAAGGTATGGACAACATT